CACAGGCGCTGAGCCCACAGTTTTTACCCTTAACGATTGCAGCTTGGTGATGTCCTAAATCTTATGTGCTATTTGTGCTATTTTACTCTTGGATAAACTGTATATTAAACAGATTTTAACCTGAAACTATCAGTTACAAGATGCTGTTGGTCTAGGAAGTGTTGTGAAAGTATTGAGATATATATATATATATTTTTGGGGGGTGGGGGCCGGGTTTGGACCTGCCACCTCCGGGCGTATGGGACCGGCACCCTACTCCTTTGAGCCACAGATGCCGCCCTGTTATTTATATTTTTAGGGACTTTTAGTTTATTTGTGCGTGGCTGCGGGACATGCAGAAATAATAGTTCATCTTTGGGAGGATTTTGGCAGCAGGCGGACATAAAATGCACATATATAAGGCATTCTGGTACACAGATGGAATCTGTATGCAAAGTTAACATGGACATATGGGGGTTGTATGTGCAAGTCTGATGTTTAATCATGAATAATTAGTTTGTATTTAGCAAAGAATCATACAGTCTAAATTGAAGAGTGATTGCTGTAGGAAGCTATTGAGTGGCTGATTAGCAGAGACATATCAGACAGTCAACAGAAGACAGAAAGAACAATGGGTTTCCATGGTTTGTAATTGATAACTAACTCCTCCACGAAAGATTTTAAGACCGCTTATAGCAAAAACACACATATCCTTGACAGTAATTCAAGTAAAAGAAAAAAATCAGAAACTTTATAGAGAGAAGCTATATGGGAAAGCCAAGTTGTAGAAAGGATGGGGGTAGGAGGAAGAAAACCCACTGGGTCTTCAGAGCTTGTTTACAAAGGACCTGGATGGGAACAATCTATGTAAGATCTGAACAGAGGAGGTGGCCCATGGGTTCAAAAGACAAAGGCAGAGACCACCCTGGGTGCAAACCTGACAATCTTGATTAACAGCCTCCTCAAAAGGGTCACCAAGGGGCTGACAGATTGGTGGGGAACAAGTGGTAGAAAGAGACAGAAAAATAAAGGCTTGTTGGATCCCCTTTTGCTTTCTCCAGGGGAACCTTGGTAATAGCAAAATGAGAAGGGATACCTCGAATGCCTATGTGCTGGGCCCACCCACCACCCGAGGCACATGTCCTGGTGGGAGAGAGGTGCTGTGGGCTCAGGAAGTCTTCACCCTCCCTCTGCTCCCTGTGGGGTTTCTGCGCTATCTGTGGTACTGCAGAGAAGAGTGACCTACAAGGAAGGCACAAAATTATTCTCAGGAAACCCTTTTCTTCCAAAAACCAAAAAGAATTCCTTTTTAACACCCATTCACCTACTAAAGGGGAGGTGAGGAAATGTCCTTACCTCAGACAGAGAATTCCTCATTTTTCTTGAAATGGATCACCTACGGCTTCTATGCTTGCATAGATTTGGAAAGTGCAGGCAAACCAAGAAACGATTTGGAACCGATTTGTAAACTCCAAGTCGGCTTCTTGGTAATCAGATATCAGTTTAATTCTATAATCATTTATTGGTTATAGTTGTCTTCCAGGAGATGAAACTAAAGAATATTGGAAATGAATAAAACAACCCCTCCCTCCCACACACAGTTTAGTGAACGTGTATGTCAAAAAGCCTATGTCAGGTTGGGCAAGTGTGGTGGCTCATGCCTGTAATCCTTGCACTCTGGGAGGCTGAGGCAGGTGAATTGCCTGAGCTCAGGAGTTTGAGACCAGCCTAAGCAAGAACAAGACCTTGTCTCTACTAAGAAATAGAAAAACTAGCCGGGTGTTGTGATGGGCACCTGTAGTCCCAGCTACTTGGGAGGCGGAGGCAGGAGGATCTCTTGAGCCAAATAGTTTGAGGTTTCTGTGAGCTGTGATGCCACGGCACTCTACCCAGGGCAACAGAGGGACACTCTGTCTTTTAAAAAAAAAAGAAAAGCGTAAGACAGATTATTGCAAATTAACCTCACATTGTGTTCCTAATACTGTGTTATAAAAATGACACCATTTTCTCTATATTGTATACATGTGATTTGATTTTTAACGTATCCACGAATATGACATTTTTATGAAGACCAGAGTGATCCGTAGAGCTTATTGGGCACTCATATTTTGTCTCTAATAGTATGCATAACTCCTCTAATAAAAATCCATGAAGTTAAAAGTACTTTGTACGTTCCTTCAGAGACATCCTATGAATTTTGTGGGATCAAGTCCCACCCCCTTTATACTGCATTTTCCATAGAACTAATGAGTCATCCCTTTGCTCAAGGGCTTAAATGAAGTGAAAATGGAATAGCCTTGCAATCAAGAATTGGTAAAATTAAGAAAAGAAATCACAAGAATGGGTTGCATATCCTTTTTTAAAAAATTCTTTTCCCCTCCCCATGCGATCCTTATCCTCATGCCTTGAGGCATGCTGTGTAGCTGCTGTACAAGCTTCTCACTTTGAATGTTCCCTGTATCACAATATTGTTTGTTTTCATCCCCTCCTTTAGGAGATGACCTGGCTTCCACCACTTTCTGCTATTCAAGCACCTGGAAAAGTGGAACCAAGCAAATTCCCATTTCCAAATAAGGTGAGATTTTCGCACCACTCTCCAGGAATCTGTTTTATTCACATAGACATTAGCAGTGGACAGTGAATTTAATCTTCAAGGTCTTTTCCTCCGTAAATATTCCTGCCCGAGGAATATGAAGCTGATCTTTAACAGTTTGTAAGCACATATGTATTTACTCATCAAAGAGGGGAAATCAAGCTTACAGTCTCACTTACCTACACTTCCATACGCTGTGCAAAATGGGACTGTTATTATAATTGTCAGCTTGTCTAGAAGCATTGGTAAAGTTGAAATGCATCTTACAATCATTTTATACATTCAGTGTAATTGTATGTCCTATTTTTTTCCCTAAAAACCTGTTATTAAATTAATGATATATCTTAAAATCAATGTCTTAGAATAGAAGACTTGGTATTTAATTTCCCTGAGTATCTTGTTAAAGCTTAAAATATTTTCTAGGACTTTAAAAAAAGGTTTCTATATTTTCTAAGAAAAAGCTCACAAAAAAGTCAGCCACAAAATACGCTTAAATCACTGCATACATTAGTCTTATAGGCTTTCTTTGATTTTTTTTTTAACCATACCACTGACATCTAACTATGTACTCCTTCTAAAAGATGAAATTATACAAATGGCAAGAGAGCAAAATGTGCCAGTCTCTGGCACCCCCAGCCAGATTCCATTTCCCCACCCGGAGTTTAGTGAGCACCATTTCAGGCATATTTTCCCTGGGCCTCACAGGCACATATGTGCGCGTGCACTTTTTTTAAACTCTTAAATCATGTAGTTAATACTAACAGCATTTTTTCCAAGTTAATTTTTTTCCAGATACCTACAATATATACATATCATTGCTAAATCAAAAATCGCTACTTTCTAAAGTGAATTATTGAAATAACTGTTCATTACTGTTATCACAAAGGTATATTTTTTGCTAAAAGTTGATTTTCATTTCCATCAATAATATGTATTCGGAGATCTTTCCAAGTGAACATACAGAGATTTGCTTCATTCTTCCAAAAGCAACAGAATATTGTGAGTACGAATTTGCTGTAATTTATTTAATCAAGCTCCTTTCAATGGACATTGAGATTGTTTATGGCTTGGGATTATCAAAATAACTGTTACAGCAGTACTAAGGAGTACAAGTAAACATTTGTTACGTGAATAGCTTTTGTAATGCTTGAGTCAGGGCTGTGAGAGTGCCCACCACTCGAATAGTATTTACGGTGCCCATTAGGGAGATTGTTGGCACTCCCCACCACCCATCTCCCTACACGATCCCCACTGGCTTTTGCTTCCTTCCCTCTGTGCCCATATGTGCCCTTGGTTAGTTCCAGTTTATTAAGAGAGTACATGTGGTATTTGTTTTTCCATTCTTGAGATACTTTATTTCGGACCATGATCTCCAGTTCCATCCAAATTGCTGCAAAAGGCATGAATTCATCCTTTTTTATGCCTGAGTAGTACTCCATGGTATACATATACCACATTTGGTTATCCTCCTCATGAATTGACGGGCATTTGGGTTGATTCCACACCTTTGCCATTGTGAATGATGCTGCTATAAGCATTCAAGTGCAGGTATCTTTTTGATAAAATGACTCCTTTTCCTTAGATACCTAGTAGTAGGATTGCTGGATAGAATGGTAAGTCTATATTTAGTTCTTTTGGGAATTTCCACGTTGTTTTCCATGGAGGTTGTAGTAATTTATAGTCCCACGCCAACATCGAATGTTTGGGGACTTTTCAGTGGAAGGCATTCTAACAGGGCAAGGTGATATCTCATTGTGGTTTTAATTTGCATTTCCCTGATGATTAGCGACATTGAGCATTTGTCCACCGTCCTTTGAAAAGCTTCTGTTCATGTCTTTTGCCCATTATTTAATGGGTTTTTTTTCCTTGCTGATTTGAGTTCTTTGTGTATTCTGGATATTAACCCTTTATCAGATACACAGTTTGCCAATATTTTCTCCTACTCTGTAGGTTTGTCTGCTTGTTCTGTTGATGATTTCCTCAGCCATGCAAAAGCTGTTAAATTTAATCAAGTCTTGTTTATTTCTGTCATCCCTATAATTGTCTTTGGCATCTTAGTCATAGATTATTTGCCTAGGCCAATATCTAGAAGAGTTTTTCCTGCATTTTATTCTAGAATTCTTATTATTTCATGCCTTATGTTTAAGTCTTTTATCTATCTTGAATTAATTTTTGTGAGTAGGGACAGATAGGGATCCTGTTCATTCTTCTGCATGTGGCTATCCAATGTTCCCAGCACTATTTATGGAACAGAGTTTCTTTTCCCCAGTGTACATTGTTGACTGTATGTAGATGGTTTTATATCTGGGTCACCTGTTCTGTTCCATATTCTGTGTCTTTATTTTTGAGCCAATACCATCCTGTTTTGGTTACTGTAGCCATGTTAGTATAGTTTGAATTCTGGTAATATGCCTCCAGATTGGTTCTTTTTGCTTAAGATTGTTTGAATATTCAGGCTCTTTTCTGGTTCCAAATTTGAAGTGTAGAATTTTTTTTTTTTTTTTGATCTGTGAAATCTGACATTGGTATTTTGGTGGAAATTGCACTCAATCTGTAATCACTTTGGGTAGTACAGACATTTCAACAATATTAATTCTACCAATCCATGAGGTGCTGTTTTTCCATTCGTTTGTGTCATCTGTGATTTCTTTCCTCGGCATTTTGTAGATTTTCTTGTAAAGATCTTTTACTTCCTTGTTTAAATAGATTTCTAGGCATTTTAATTTGTGTACATTTACTTTGTAAACTGAGACTTTGCTGAATTTATTTATCAATTTCAGGAGTCTCTTCATGGCATCTTTGTGGTTTTCTAGATATAAGATTAGATCATCAGCAAGAAACGTTTTATCTCCTCTTTCCCAATTTGAATGCCCTTTATTTCTTTTTCCTCCCTGATTGCTCTGGCTAAGACTTCCAGTACTAAGTCGAATGGAAGTGATGACAGCGGGTACCTTTGTCTTGTTCTAGTTCTCAGGGGGAATGCTTTCAGATTTTCCCCATTCGCTGTGATGTTGGCTATTAGTTTGTCATATAAGCCTTTTATAATTTTGAGGTAGGCTCCTTCTGTGCCTAGTTTGTTGAGGATTTTTGTCAAGAAAGCGTGCTGGATTTCATCAAATACTTTTTCAGCATGTATTGAGGTGATCATACAGTCTTTGTTTTGCTTTTTGTTTTAATGCTGTGAATCACATTTTTTGATTTACATATGTTGAATCATCCTTGCATTCCTGGATAGAAGCCCACTGGGCCATGGTGGATTATTTTTTTGATATAGTATTGTATATGGTTTCCTGGTATTTTAACATGTGTATTCACAAGGGATGTTGGTTTGTATTTTTCTGTTTTTGTTGTGTTTTTTTTCCTGCTTTGGTAGAATATACTGGCTTCATAGAATGAGTTGGGAGGAATCCCTCCTTCTCAGTGTTATGAAACAATTTCAGCAGTATGGGTACTGGTTTTACTTTGTAAACCTGGTAGAATTTGGGTGTGACTCCATCTGGTCTGGGGCTTCTTTTGGTTGGAAGACTTTTTATTACTGTTTTGATCTTACTGCTCATTACTGATAAGTTCAAGAGTTCTGTTTCTTCCTGATTGAGAAGATTGTGTGGTTCTAGGAATTTATCCATTTTCTCAAAATTGTCGAGTTTATGTGTGTATAAATGGTTCATAGTATTCATGAATGATATTTTGTGTTTCTTTGGTATTAGTCATAATCTCCTTTTATTTCTGATTAAGTTTGCATCCTTTCTCTCCTTGTCTTGATTAATCTAGCAAGCGGTCTATTAATTTTGTTTATCTTTTCAAAGAACCAACTTTTTGTTTTGTTTAATCTTTGCTGTTGTTTTCCATTCTGTTCTGACTTTAATTATTTCTTTTTTTCTGCTGGCTTTGCATTTGGTTTGCTCCTTTCCTAGTTACTTGAGATGTGTCACTAGGTTGTTATTTTTCTACCTTTTTGATGTAAGCATTTAAAGCTGTGACTTTTCCCCTCTACGACTGCTTTTGCTGAATCCCATAGATTTTAATAGTTTGTGTCCCCTTGGTCATTCAGTTTGAGACATTTTTTTATTTCTACCTTGATTTCATTATTGGCTCAATAATTGTTCAGCAGAAGAGTGTTTAATTTCTATGACTTTCTGTGGATTTGAGTCTTTCTCTTGGAATTCTAGTTTTATTTCACTGTGCTCTGAGAAATTACATGGAATGGTTTCAATTTTTTTTTTAAATTTATTGAGACAAGTATTGTGGCCTAAGGTATGATCAGTCTTGGTGAATGTTGTATGTGCTGATGAGAATGTTATATTCAGTAGTTCTAAGGTAGAATGTTCTATAAGTGTCAGTTACAGAACATTCTAGAGTCCCATTTAAGTCCAGTCTTTCTTTCTTTTCTTCTTCAATGATCTGTTCAGCTCTGTCAGTGGGGCATAGAAATCCCTAGCAATTATGACGCTGCTTTTAATGAGCGCTTTTTGTCAATTCCTCTTTGTGTGCTGATACTCAGTGTCTCTAGTGAGGATACCTAGAACAGGAATTATGACTCTGGGCATCAGAAACCACAATTACTCTTGGCTGTGTTTCAAAAGTATTTTTTGTATATCTTTGCCAGTGATTAATATTATCTGGCTTTTTATTATTGTGTGTATATGATGGATGAAAAGTTGAAACCTCATTGTTTTCATTTGCATTTTCCCAATTACTTCTGAGCTTGAGCATTGACTATTTTTTCTCTGTAAATTGCCCATTCATTATCTATTGCTACTTTTTACAAAATGATTTGTAGAAACTCCTAATATCTTATTCATTGGTCTGTTACATGCAATGCAGCTATTTTCTTGTAATCTTTTTATGTGCTTTTTATACTAACAAAGTGTTTAATTTTTGTGTCAGAGAAAAACGATGTTCCCTACACTAGCATTCTAACAGTGTTCTCTCTTTTATTCCAATTCTCTTACAGGTTTTTTTTTTTTTTTTTTTAGGGTTTT